ATTCAACTATCTTACCAAGTCTTGAACAACATTGCCGTTTCCTTTTTTCAATATGGGCAAGGACAGAACGTGCCTCTAAGAGTGTACATCTCGTACTTGCCCAATGCTAACTGTTAATTGGAAAACACTTGATGGCTTGGAAGGGACCTAAGGTACGTAATGACATCACAATTTCACTCCCATTTGACTGCCATCTCTCAATGAATTTTTTTTCCAGGTTATTCTCAATGAATGCAATTCATTCCTTTTACTAAGACTGTTTGGGCCAAGAAGGTTGGAACCAACAACCTCCTACGAGTTTGTACATTTAGAGGAAACACTACTTGTCGGAGACTGGCGGCCTAAGATTGTTTGGGCCAAGTTAAAATAGAATCGAAGCTCAATAAATAACTGAAAATAATGCAGCTAACCTCTAATCACTGAAGGGCTGTGGCCTGGTTGCATAAAAGTACTCTTAAGTGAGTACTTAAGTGAGGCACGTAAGAGTCAACTAAGTGCACCCGTAAGAGTGTTGCACAATGCATACTTATTTTATTCTTGTAAGTATGCGAGTTAAGGGAAAACTTAGGTGCATATAGCTACTCACATTTTATTGATTAATAACTTTGCATGTGAAGTGGAAAAATGAACAAGCACAAAGAAAGATGTGTTAGATAAGTTTATAGAATTAGTTCCACAACAACAATCCTTAAATGTTATTTACACACAATAACAAGTAATTCACTCTTATATGGCATTTGAATGTACTTATCACATCAATGTTTAACCTTCTGTCCATAATATTGTCATTTGAGGTAGAGAAGTCTCTCCTTTTTGTGATGAATACGCATTTTTATATTGTGTTCTTCCATGAGATGTTGTATCGTGTTCTTCCATGAGATGATGTCTTCTACTGTGTTTTTCTTGGCACATAATAATACTGACTGGTCCGGTTGGTATGTCTCATTGAAATCCTCTGCTTGGACGACGCCATGTCTGGTGATGGAGGAGTGACACATACATTAGAGGTTTCGGGATTGAGGGAATTCGTTAAGAGGCAAATCCCCAATATGTTCGCGCCATATTTTAAAAAGAGTTTTCCCTGGCTTTTCCCTTTGCGTCATGGCGGAGAAGTCACTGAGAGACATCGAGGTTTCCTTCATCAATGAACACTTTGATGGCGTAAGTTTTGAAAACGATTGTTGTTCGGTTTTCTTTGATGGAAATGATGAAGAATTGGAAGCAATTTTACGAAAATTTCTCGCGATTAATTCCACTAGCTTTGTCACAGTCGAAAATCATTCGAAAGACAAGAAGAAAAAACGATTCACGCAAGCAGGTAGGTTAATTTTAATTTGCGTAGTCAGTTTAGTGCTATGTTCTTGATTCTGTTTTACAACACAAGAATGTGATTTTTACACTGTAGCCAAGGTCGCTACGGTGAAAAGTATGCTCTGGGGATATGTAAATTTTGTCTGCCTCTGTTACAGCAATGCAAAAATACTTTTTCAACCGTACTGCGTACCCGTTATTCGTTGTCGATATCTTAAACTCTCTATTATTGCAAGCAAGGAGGGAGTGTAGAAAAGCAAGAGATAGATATATACGTTTAAATTCAACACCTATCTACTGTTCGTATAATCACATATGAAACACAACACTATTTTACGCTGTGCTTTCCTCTTGCCTTCAGGATGGAAGAGGAGGGTATCGCCCAAAGCCAGTGGGACCCCACGATTATGCAAAGAAACAACGTGTTAGACTGCAGAACAGTCGCAAACTCGAGTGTCCTGCCACCTTGCAAATTCGCTGCATTGAGATTTTTGAGGAATATGTTCTGGACAAAGACAAATGCAAATCCAGTAACAGCATAGAAACAGCCAAACAAGCCATTCTAAAAAAAACTGAATGAAGCCCTTGTTGGGGAGAATGCGTCGGAGATCCGTAGGTCCACGCGATTTTACCTTAAAATACCGCTCAGTTGTGCGCACCAGAGACATCCGGTTGGCGCAGCGTCAACAATTGGTCAATACGTCGATTCTCACGTTGTGAAAAAGATCTACGATTTGGTAGAACAAAATATTAGCAACGTCACCGAAGTGAAACGATGGCTCGATCATTTTGTCGAAAACGAACTATTTCGCGATGTTCCAAAAACCCAGCTTCCAAGAAAGACCAACCGACGATACTATCCATCACGGCAAGATCTTCGAAACCACATTGGTAGGGCAATTTCCGCTTTCAAATACTGTGACGACGACCAGGAATCACTGGCAAGAAAAATCGAAGAGTGGAAAGCGAAGGATCCTACGTCGAATTTTTTTTACAGGATGACAGACGAAACAACGGAGAGGAACAACGACAGAAAACGCAGGCCTGGAGAGAAAACCTTTCTGTTTGTTCATCAAGAGTCATGGCAGCGGCGCTTGTTGAAAAGGTACGGAGACGAGCTGGTTTTGATGGACGCGACATATACAGGGTATACCTGTTAAAATTACTATGTTGCTGACTTCATTTCAATGAAAAGAATTATTAGCATGTTGTGAAGCAACCTAAAATACAGGCTCATAGTGAAATATGGTTGATAAAATACCATCTTCTCCATAAACCAAGATGTTTTTGATTCAAAATATCTTGGAAACCATTGCAATGTAATGTTTAAAACACAGCCTATATAGTAAAGTAAATTTATGTGCACTAGGTACTAGATAAATCTCAGAAAGTGCGATTCTTTATGGACCCCATGAATGGCCAGAAGGAAAGGATAACTGATTTTAAAACAAGTCCTTATGGACCTCATAGATAAGATAAGGTAAGACAATTTGACGAAATATCCTGAAACATTTGACTGGATGAAATGCTGTGAACTGATATTTACATGTAAAAATATTTTTTTATTTTCATTAGTGAAATTGCAGACAGGAAAACTGGTTGGCATTCCCAATTTTGGCGCTGTATCGAGCCTGTTCACTTCACACAGCAGGACAGCTTCAATTGTGGTGTAATCATTTGTC